ACAGTAAAATACTGTCCCCTTCCTCCAGGCCACACAAACAAAATACACAACTCAGAAGAATCTCCAAAGAGACATTATGTTGGGGAGAACCAAAAAGGTACCATGGACCTCTGGTCTTAGGGAAAAACCCTCCCCATTAAGATACTTAAAGGATTTCCCACGATAACAGTTTACTCCCACCCACTTACTCTGAAGTGAAGCTTTACTGTGAACAAGCTTCCCCAACATGCGAAGAGCTCAGACAAACTCTATTCCCACTATCTTAAAAATAAGCAGAAAACAGGACCACCACAGATCGGAAGCCTACAAAATCAATGACAAAGCCCACCATAAAAAAATGAAAAAAATTGAGATAATTCATGCTAAAGAGATAAAAACAAACAAGTTCTAAGAAATATCCTTGGAGAAATTAAAAAATATTTTACATTTGTAAAACAAAAATAGGGGCTACTAAAAAATAAAAAAAGAGAATTCTTAGCATTTTTCTTTTAAAAAGATGATATCCTCTTGGGCCCCTGGTAGTGGGAGGGTGGAAGTCACAGACAACTTGGGGAAAATAAATGTTGGATACTGGAGAAGTCTTTCAGAACATATGACAAAAAGACAAAGCGCTCAAAATTATATAGGAAAATACAAGAGAAATAATCCAAGAGGCTCAAAATCTGACTAATTCCAGAAAGAAAGGACAGAGGAAATGGAAACAAGGGAAATATTTTTAAAAAGAAGAAGAAGAAAATTTCCTGGCACTAAAGAAGGTCATGACTCTTTAAATTGAAAATGTTCAATGACATTTTTTTAAAAAAGTCACACACCTAGATATATCATGAGAGAATTTTATAGTATTAAGGCTAAAATAATAGAAAATATCCCTGAGAAAAATGGTTTTCTATCTAGAATTGCGTATCTAGTAAACATCACTCACGTGTGAGGGTTAAAGACTTATTTTTTTCAGAATTTAATCTCCTAAGCATCCCTTTTTAGGAATTTTTAAGTGAGTAAAACAAAAGAAAAGAGGGCACAGGATCTTGGAGACAGAAGTTCTAATCCAGGATCTAATCCTACTGTGCAGGTCTAGAGCGTAAGATCCAAATCCAGCCCGAAGACTCTGGAAGGGACTTCCATGGAGAAAGGAGGGAATCAACGATGCCCGAAACAAAGGACAAGGTTGAGTCCTCAGCCTGACTCCATAACTAAAAGGAAAGACCATCTGGACATGCGAAGCATCAGACGGAAGAACACGCTCTGCTCCTGGAGAAGCAGAGCCCTCGACACGTGCTTCCAACCAAAAGAAAACTTATTTACTAAGTTCTATCGTTTAATAAAAACCATTTTATTATGATTTGTAAAGGATTCTGAAATCTTTAGTTGGGCATACTCAAGATTTAGGTCCATTATTTCCATATTTAGAGAGAGAAAAACTCCATGAGTCAGGCCCAAAGGACGTGCAGCATTTCTAATCGAAATTTATTTGTTTAGGAGGTTTTCAAGCAATGGCTAGCATATAACAGCTTCAACTGTATTTAAATAAAGTTCTCATCGTCATCTCATAGTAATTATTGCATGGGAAGAAAATTATTTATTGCAAGACATAGCAGGCAGAAAAATATATTCTGCTGTGAAGAGATATTGCAGTGCAAATAGGCAGCTGTTTTTTCAGCATGTGCATGGTTATGTGTTGAATGTAAATGTATGTAAATATCTCAATTTTAACACTTTATCATTGTTCAAATAGTCTTCCAAGCCATATTCAATACCTAATTTAAAGCTTTGCAAGATCATTTCTTTCTTATTTGTAATTTGTTACTCTTGAGAGCGTAAGTTCTTCTGGATATACAGCTAGGCCTAATCTATAATCTGATCTATAAACTGTGCTTTCATTTTTTAAAAATCACTAAAATTTTTCTTTTGAATATCTGGTTATAATACATCCCAGTTTACTAATATTTACTAAGAAATTCAAAGGCAGACCTCACCCTACCTTCCCTGTAATGCTTTGTTCAACATTTGTTCTCATGCATGAGATAACAGGCAGGAAAGTGATCAGGAAAATCTCCCCTGTCGTGGCTGGGCTCCTGTAATGTACTGAGTCGTTATTCTTTGCTAAGCTCTGTATTAGATCCACTGGAGAATTGCAATGAAAGTAAGAGGTATAGCTGTGACACTTAGATCATTACTTTGTTTAATTCATGCACAATATCTGAACTAATTCCTAAACAGATTTGCGGGCGGCTCCTTGCAACAACAGATGTGAAGCCAGTCTTTCTTCTTGTACACCCTACTCCGCCCCTCAGAGTCATCTCATCCCTTGCTGCTCATCTAGTAAGTTGCTAAAATGTGTGGACATGTTTGCCAGGGCCATCGCTTTAAATATTCAGCAGCCAGTACTGCACGCTTCTGACCATTCAGTGCAGAGCCTCACCACTGCAGTGGGCACTGGTGTAGGCATCACCATGGCTGCACCGTAGGGTCAACTAAGGGCATCCAAGGCTTAGCCAACAGAATCCAAGCTTTCTCTGAGGTGAATTCCTTTTGCCTCATTTGACTTTTGCTTTGGGAGGTGAAGTTGGCTTTGGCTTCATTTACATCATTGATGCAACGTCTGTGCAGAAGTCAGCCGAGTCCTGCAGGTTTCTAGGCACCCTCAGATTCCTGTCAGTAAGAAACTCAGAAGGCTTTGTCTAGAGTCAGTCACTAGACTCGCTTACAGTAGCAATTTATTCCACACTGGAATGCTCTAGATGCTCTCTTCCAATTTCCTTTACTAGAGTGGAAGGTGGGCCAAGGGGCTTGTGGATTTTCTGAAGAATCCATGATGGCAACTTCGGACACCATGAACTTCAGCTTGTCAACATGTTCTGATATGTTTTTCTTTGAGAAAGGTGAAACTGATGCCAAGCACGGTATGAACATGCTTCTGGAAAGGCAGAAAACATCTATTGAAGTAACAACCACTGTCCCTCTTAATGGATGTTACTATCACAGCAGAAGACAGCATTTAGAAGGAGACACAGAGAGATCCTCGAACCCCCAGCACATGCTGATGAAAACACAGTGGGTCAAGACATGACAGTGGGTTGAAACCTTCTCAAAAAAAGTGAAATAAGAGGGTATCCTCTCCATACAGTAAGTACTTGCAACCTTCCTACAGCCTGAATTTCACCAGGAAAAGATACAAGAGGTTATGCCTTTGGTTTTTCAGATGGGGCTCACAAGGGAATTTCTGGTGTTGCCCAGGCACATGTGATGGTTGACACCCAGGAGCTGTCAGAAGCAGTGCTGAAGGCAATGGTGTAGGCAGCGGTTGGATCCTTTAGCGCAGCTTCAAATGGCAGACAGGATAAGACACACTGCTGCAGAAGGTGTCATGTGTCGGGGGTATGGCATTTCCATTCTGTTTTGCCATCACTCATCTCAACCTTTGGCATGTGGCTGCGTTTCTCTGGCAATCAGGGAAGCTACCACAGAGGGTTCTTCTAGACAATGGTTTTGTGTTGGAGTAAATTCAAACGTTAGTTAAATCCAATTCTTTCCTAATCATAAATTAATCCATACGATGTACACAGAAGGTGCTTTGTTGGTCTTCATTTCTGGTGGCTTCATGTATCTGTTGGCGAAGTCTTACGCACAGAAGCTTCCTGTCCCTATCACACACATTGAGTCCTTTCTTTTGCAGGCCGTTCCAACGTAAGCCCAACCCACATATTCAAGGATGGGTGTTCATAACCATAATGGTGGGAAATATTTTCAGTTACAAAACTCACCCCCAACCTATCCTAGACATCATACTATGTAGACAAAAATACTTTTACCTTCCCTGACTCATGTCACCTCACATTAGTTTGGTGTGAAACATTGCTTTAATAGTACAGTAATTCTTAACAAGTATTTTTTTTTCCACAAAGGCAGTTTTCTACTTACAGAAAGAAAAAACAAAATAAACAAAACCAATTTGCATCTAGTTCTGATATAACTAAGGGTGAGAAAGAAATGTGACAATAATCTCAAGGAGTATATACTCAAGAAAATATACTAAAGTTGGGAGTCTTGACCAAGGACTGGACAAATATTTATAGTTCTCTAGCTTGAATAATGTATTTTCATCTACTTTTCAGCATAACTACAAGGAAATTTTAGAGTTGAGACAGAAGGTCAATGGAACCAGGGACAATTAAAAGATCTTTTTAGACAGTCAACTATGCAATCCAATTGCCAAATACTTGCTGATAGGGGTAATTTTTCATGAACTGAAAACCAAGTATCACCTAGAATGGCAGTGAGCATGAACAAGATGAGTAAGCAGCAGAGTAATTTGAAATCCTGTATTGAGGCCACCTGGGCCATTAGTACTGCAAGTAACACTGCAGATTTTTAAAGTGAGAGCTGACAGCTCCATGTTCATGTGTATCCAGGTATGTGCCAATGTTTCACAGGGTCTCATTTATTAAACCCTCATGACGACAGTGTGGCTACTATAATCATTTCCATTGTACAAAACCCAAAAGTTCTACAATCAAAAAAAGTTTTGATGTTCACTTTTTAAAAATCCCTTAATATGTAATACTAATGGTGACTTTTAATAGACATGAATATTTCATTCAAAAAATTAACTGCTAAGTAGAATAAGCCATCTGTGTTCATCACAGTATAAACCAAAATGCATACCTTATTACCAAAAACTGACGTGCCTTGTCAACTATCATTCATGAGGAGTCCTGGGTATTGTACGATGCTCAACTACTTCTAAATCAACTGACAAAAACGGATTATGATCACAGAATTTGAATGAGGGTTACATGCATTTGATTACTGAATATGATCAATCCAGGTGGGTCACATCTGATACCGTTTTCTTAGTGGTTTACTCATTTGAAAACACATATTGAGACTGCCTATGTTATTAGAACACCACAATATTTATTTGGTTAGTATATTTGCTACTGTGTTGGATAACAGAAAGTTTATCTTGAGATAAAATATAATGATTCAATAATGCCTCCAACCTGTGACCAGCTCCCGGATCTCCAGGTCGGTGGTCTTGCGGAGTAACCTCACCAGCGCTGGGATACCGCCACAGTTTTTCAGAGCAATTTTGTTATCATCATTGGCCTTCCCATACACCAGGTTTCTCAGAGCTCCACAGGCGCTACGGTGGACTTCAGTCATCCGATGATCCAACAGGTCCACCAAGAGCTGGATGCCTCCTTGTCTTCTTATCTGAAAGAGCAAAGGACACCCCACTTTTGCTTTAGAGTGTAAGGTTTCACTCTCTATACCAAAACATGTTTTTCATATAAGGTATCTGCTAACAATTAACTGCACCAAACTGAATTAAGGCATACAAAAGGAAAAGAAAAAAAGTGTTTGTTTGATATTTTATTCTCTGTATTTGCTTTAATATCCTACCAATAAAAATCCAAATGCATTTCTTTCAAACTATAGAATGGGAAAGGTGATTTTAACTTCGTAATGGGTGCCTTAGACATTTCTCTCTATAAAATCATGCCATGTCCTCATGGCTGAAGCACATGAAGAAATAAAAGGCATTACATTGATCCTTATTCCTTAGACTTATTAAATTTAACCACTGTTTTAAAGGGCTGCAGGACTGATGTACAAAATGTTAAAGCTATGCTTAACAGGGATATGCTCCAAACATTTCAAAGGAACCAGAAGCGAAGCAAGAGACTGGAAGAATCGACACAAGGAGTTTTATCTCAGAAGACCTGCAGAAATAAGAACGTCTCTTATATGAGGGACAGAACACGTGAGGAGAAGACATGTTATGCTTAACTTAGGTATGTGATTCAACAACAAAAGCACACTACATTTTACTGTTCTTTTTATCAAAACAACATTTTAATCTTTCATAAGTAAATTTAAATTAGAAACAAAATAAAATGGCTACGTAACACACAGGTTAGTTCATAGGGTTTTCATGAACAAAGCTGCATCTGAAAACTTCTGCATGTATATGGAAAAAGAGCATGATTCATCCAGTAGTACCCTTCTCTTTTTCTTTTTTTTTATGCTTCAGTGTTCTTCAGGGATTGAAGAATTGGCACTTTCTCTACTTAAGTTTTTGATTACAGAAAAACTCATTCATGCCACAGATGTGCCGAGACACCTGGCTACATCCCGGGCTCTTTGAACTGTGTCCAAGTGCTGTTCTTTCTATGAGGTGGCTCTAACCACACCATTTAAAACCACTCTTGGAACCACACCCTTACCCCAAGCCAGCATTCTTCTTTACCTTCAAGTGCTATTGAAGGTAAAGACTTCATAGGACTTGTCGTGTTCCAACTTGTTATGTGTATTATTATTGCCTGTCTGCTATTAGGATGCACGTTCTGGGAGGAAAAGTCTCTGTTATATATCCCTATCCCCAGTGCAATGCCAGACACACCATAAATGTTCACTAAATATTTGTCAAATGAATGGAGAGGGTTAATTAATATATTATTTGCCACCTTGGTGTTTCTCAGCTTTGCTAAAATAGTATTTTCAAAATTAAGAAATATCCCTCTTTAAAGAAAAAAAAAACCCTTTTGTGAACAGTCAGGAATGTATCCAGAGGTATCAGCCCCGTGGCTCTTCCAACCTAGCTTACAAACAAAATAGAGCATGCTTCATTCATACAGGGTGGCCTCTGATGATTCCAAATATGCCAACAGGAATCATTTTCATTCAACAGCAAATGAAAGCAGAAAAAGTGGAAACCCTCAGTGCACTCTTGGCCTCTAAATCCCTAATTTGGAAACCATGAATGCAGCATTTCACATATGGCGCCTCGATGAGAACATGCCAGGGAAGAAAGAGGGAGGGATGAGGAGGGACGGTATTGTTGAGGGGTGATGGTTGCCCTGCTTGAGGCTGGTGACAACACCTGGGTAAGGAGGACTGAAGGGATTTTTAGGTCAACTAAGGAAAGAGAAAAAGAAGTGCAAAACAACTTTGCCCAACTTACAGTTTGACCCAGGGCTTGCTTGGCACCTGCGCCAGAGAGCTGATGTTGTATTCCTACATAGGTGTGCCTTGTACATGCACCCAGATTACAAGTCCATCCACTTCATTATAGTGCTTAAGAAGGCATATCCCACTTGTACAAAAAAGGTTAAACTATGAACATGACTTTCTCTATGTGTATATATTTTCACGTGTGATTTATTTAAAGTTCTCTGAGTTTAGTTACTTTAATAATGATGAAACCATTAAAAAGAGATAACAAATCCATTCTTACAGTGAATCTATTGGTTATGTACTAAAAGCAGATGGCATCATCAATCAGTCTATGCATTTCATTTATATGTATATATTTTAGCTATCCTGGATGTTATAATTAATATTCCTAATTTATTATATTTCCAATTCATATGATTTAATGAATTAAGTGATTAAAATATTATTCCAAAACATTAAAAGGGAAAATGAATTCAAACTGAATGCGGCATGAATTTTTTTTTTTTTTTGAGATGGAATCTCTGTTGCCCATGCTGGAGTGCAGTGGCCTGATCTCAGCTCATTGCAACCTCTGCCTCCTGGGTTCAAGTGATTCTCCTGCCTCAGCCTCCCGAGTAGCTCAGATTACAGGCATGCACCACCATGCCCGGCTAATTTTTTTAGTAGAGATGGGGTTTCACCATGTTGGTTAGGCTGGTCTCGAACTCCTGATCTTGTGATCTGCCTGCCTCAGCCTCCCAAAGTGCTGGGATTACAGGCATGAGCCACTGCTCCCAGCCTGAATGCAGCATGAATTCTTAATGCTACAATGAAAACAAAATGTTTTCAGTACGGCTCTAATTAATGCCATATACCCAAATTTATAGTGAAATTTTTCAGTTTGATTTTAATCTACTTAGATAAACATAAATATGACAATTAACTTTTTTCTTTTGCTCTAATTTATTATATTAATTGGAAATATAATAAATTAGGGTCACCAGGTCCTCTATATTAAAACTTGTTTTCTTGGGATTGAATTTTATCTAAGAATGTGAGAATCCTACTTTCGTTTTCTGAAGCCAAACATAACTCAGAGTTAAAATGTAAATAGCCACATGTGTGAAATGGGATGGCCAGATCCTTGGTCCTCCCTCCTTCCCCTGCAACCTCCCCTCTCCCATCAGGACTGGAAGGGAGGCCCTGACATGGACTCCAGTCCTCTTGCTTCTGGTGGCTATGTGTGGGTCTGATGCTGTCCTCTTCACTTTCCCTCTCTTGCTTTTCTGCAGGACCCTTCCTTTCTCCAATTTCTTGCACCCAATCCATCTACCAGTTTCTTCTGGTATCTAACATGAAATCTTTCCAAGCTTCCAAACAAACCTATTTTAAACACTCAAAAAGTACAGTTTTCTGAAAACCTATCAGAAGAAACTTGTCTTCTCTGAAATGGCACCTGTATGTCTTATCCCCCAAAATGGTGAGCTGTCTAGTTCCAATTTATCCCCTGTCCATCACTCCACATCCAGCAAGCTGAGCCCAGGTTTTAGTTAACATATGATTACTGCAGGTCAGCTTACCCTCTCTTCACAATATTTCTTTAATCATCTTCATGCACAATTGGTTTTTTTTTTTTTTTTTGAGACAGAGGTGTGCTCTGTCACCCAGGCCGGAGTGCAGTGGCATGATCTTGGCTCACTGCAAACTCCATATTCAGGGTTCAAGTGATTATCTTAGTAAAGATGAGGTTTTGCCCTGTTGCCCAGGCTGGCCTTGAACTCCTGGGCTCAAGCAATTCATCCACCTTGTCCTCCCAAAGTGCTGGGATTACAGGCATGAACCACCATGCCCAGTCTCACGCAGAATTCTTTAAAAGTCAAACTTTGAAAGATTCTAAATTTAATAGCACTAAAATGAAGTCAGTGAAATGGTAGTTTATATACATCTTATATTTATACATAATTCAACAGTAAAATAAAATGCAATAAAAGAGTGCCTGTCACAAGATAGTAAGCGAATAAATATTTATCAGATGAATGGTGCAGCTGGTTGTCAGGTATTTCTCTCTGTCTGTCTGTCTGTCTCTATCTCTCTTTCTCTCTCTTTTAGAGCAGGTTTACGGTCACAGCAAAATTGAGCAGAAAAGACAAAATTCTCATGTACTCCCTATCCCCCACACAAGCACAGCCTCTCCACTATCAACAGTCTGCACCCTAGAGGTACATTTGTTACAGTGGATGAATCTACACTGACACATTGTTATCACCCAAATTCTATAGAGTTCAATTGTCCAAAGTTACATTAGGTTCATGTCTGGTGCTATACCCTCTATTCTTACTAAATGTACAATGACATGTATCCTCCAATTATAGTTTCATACAGAATAGTTTCCCTGCCCTAAAAAATCCTCTGTGCTTTGCCTATTTATCCCTCCCTCTCCACTAACCCCTGGCAACCACTGATCTTTTTACTGTTTCCATGATTTCGCCTTTTCTAGAATTTCAAATAGTTGCAATCATATATATGTAGCCTTTTCAGATTGTCTTCATTTTGTTACTAATATAAATTTAAGGTTTCTCCATGTCTTTGCTAGAGATCTCATTTCTTTTTAGTGTTGAATGCTGAATAATATTCCATTTTCTGGATGTACCACAGTTTATTTATTAATTGACCTGCTGTAGGACATCTTGGTTGCTTTTAAGTTTTGGCAATGTTGTATAAAATTGCTATAAACATTTGTGTGCAAGCTTTTAAGTAGACATAAATTTTCAACTCCTTTAATAATACCAAGATGTGTCATTGCTGGATCACACGATAAAGGTATGTTTAGTTTGTAAGAAACTGCTATACACTCTTCCAGAATGGCTGTTCCACATTCCCACCAGCAGCAAATGGGAGTTCCTGTGGCTCCAAATTCTCCCTAGCCATTTGGTGTTGTCACTGTTTGGATTCTGGTCATTCCGATAGGTGTATAGTGGTATCTCATGTGTCTCCTTCTCTTTTAAGACTACCTGTGTGATTCAGATTTATTTACATTAATACAAATGATTAAAATTAAAACAATGAATGTTGGAATACATATGGGGAAATGATAGCTTCATTTAGATCTTGACTGAGCAATTCTCATATCTGCTACTTTCCCTAATATGATAGAATTGGACATGGACCAGAAGGGACTTTTCATACATGGCCTGAATAGACAGTCTTAAACTCACTTATTAAGTGGTTCTTTGATAGATAATTGACCTTAGTCAGTTGTTCCTGTGTAAGTGGCTCAC